TAACAAAGGGGCTGAACAACAACATCTTTGAGAAGATTGTTTCCAAGCTGGGAATGGAGAATACCTATTCACCAGCTTGAGGGGGAGTGTTAGAATCTGTTTTATTAGAATCTGTTTTATTAGCTGTGATAAGATATTCTAAGATATAGTTTAGATATATTAGTTTATCTTTTCCTAATTTATATTTTATCTTAATCTCTAAACTTTAGGGATTGTTTCTGTTACTTGTTTATTTATTTGATTGTACCCATCAATTCAGATTAATAAGAAAAATTATTCTACTCTAAATTTGAGAATTACCAATCTCATTTCTTTCTTAAAATTATCTTTATAGAAGACATTTTTCATTTACAATGTATCAAGGGCCAATGTTTCTATATTTTCATATTAAATATGTGTATATGTCTTATTTAGCTATAATATATATTTTATAATTTTTTAAAATTTTTAATACTTTATCGGTACATATCATCAATAAGTACAAATGAAGTATTTGAAAGTATTGGGATTAAATAAAATTTTTATATTATTTTTAAAGGTTAGGATACTTCATTGATATATATTACTAAAATATCCGAGAGTATCATATTAGATACGTATCGGATACGAAGTAAATTGAAGTATGGTTATTTCATAGTATTTCAATAATTTAGGCACTATTTTAAGAAAATGGATTGAAGGTTTTATGGTGAGAATCGTAAAGCTGAGAGAGGAAGAGAAAGACAATACGTATTGTGGAAGAGAAAAATGAATAATTGATTCTCTCACAAAACTATTCAATAAGTTGCAGTATAATATATAATTTGAAAATAAAACAGAAAGTAAAATGCACCTAACCAGGATTTCAGCAAAATTAAAACAGAATTATCTTGCTCCTAACGTTTAGGAACCACTTATTGACTCCGTTAATGCTTAATAAAAAATAATAATAACTGAATTTCAATTATAAAAGCACAGTTTTAACACTCCTCTTTGCTTTAGGAACTGCAAACTCCAATTCTTTTCCTTAAAAGTTCAAATTTGCTTATAGGCAATGGCTTTGTAAATATGTCAGATAGTTGATCTTCAGACTTGTAGTAAATTAAGTTTACTTCTCCACTTTGTTGCATCTCTCTCAAGAAGTAGAGCTTGATATTGAAATGTTTAGTCTTCCCATGACATGCTGGATTGTTTGCAATAGCAATTGCTGCTTGATTGTCAACAAAAATTTTAGTTTTGTTCTTCTGGTGTAAAAGTAAATCACTTAAAATCTTCTTTAACCATAAAACTTGATTTACAGCTGTTGTTGCAGTTATGAATTCAGCTTCAACAGTAGATTGTGCTACAATCTCTTACTTCTTTGTGCACCATGAGAAAACTCCAAAGCCTAGGCTGAAACAATATCCTGAAGTACTCTTCATGTCATCAACAGATCCAGCCCAATCACTATCAGAGAATTCGTACAACTTGAATTCTTGACACTTCTCAAATTTGACACTATAATCAATAGTGCCTTTAACATACCTCAATATTCTTTTTGCTATTTTTAAATGCATTTCACTTGCACAGTGCATAAAACGAGACAAGAGACTTACAACAAATAGAATGTCCGGCCTTGTTGCAGTGAGATACATTAGACATCCAATCAAGCTCCTATAATATCCTTCATCAATTTTATTAACACCATCTTCCTTGCTCAACTTCTCCTTTTGATTCATTGGTGTGCTAACAGATTTGCATTCTCCATTTGAAATTTCTTCAAAATTTCCTTTTCATATTTTCTTTGACAGATAAAAACTTTGAGTTAATAACCTATACACTGCCAGTGTAAAATTTTTTTACACTAGCAACCAATTATATCTTTTAATTGTGTCATGTCATTGATAAAAGTAAATGTATTTACAGTGACATGACACAATTAAAAGATATAATTGGTTGTCAGTGTAAAAAATTTTTACACTGGCAGTGTATAGGTGATTAACTCAAACTTTATTCTCACTTTGTTTTATCTCAATTCCAAGAACATAGGTCATGAGACCAAGATCTGTCATTTCAAAGGCTTGCATCATTTCTTGTTTGAACTCCTCAACCAGCCTTGTGTCATCTCTAGTCACTAAAAGATCATCAACATAGAGGGAAACTGTGAGAAGGTTATGTCCCTTATGTTTCACATAAAGAGTGGACTCGGATAAGTTTTTTGCAAAGCCTATGCTCAATAGGTGATCATTTATCTTGTTGTACCAAGCCCTTGGTGCTTGCTTTAGGCCATAGAGGGCCTTTTTGAGAAGATAGACTTTATCTTCTTCACCTTTCTTCATGAATCCTTCTGGCTGCTCCACATATATTTTTTCTTGTAGTTCTCCATTTAAAAAAGCTAATTTAACATCTAATTGAAATATTTTCCAGCTGTTTTGTGCAGCCACTGCTAGCACCAATCTAATTGTATCCAATATAGACACAGGAACAAAAGTGTTAGAATAATCAACACCAAAAATTTGTGCATACCCTTTTACTACGAGTCTAGCCTTGTGCTTGTTGATTGAGCAATCTGCATTAAGCTTTGTTCTGAAAACCCATTTAACTCCAATGACTTTTTGATCTTTAGGCTTTTCAACAAGTTCCCAAGTATGATTTTTTTCAATCATGGCTAGCTCCTCCTGCATTGCAGCCCTCCACTTGGGATCTTCTTTTACATCCTAGTACCCCACAGTTTCAAGGACAACAACGTTGCACCTTTGGTAAATATCGAAGACCAACCTAGTGCCTCTTATATGAATATGATCAACTAACTCATCTTGATTGTGCAAAGGATCAGCTGCTGAAATTTTTTCTACATTATTCCAACTCCATTTCTCATTCTCCATGAAGTGCACATCTCTACTTATCAGAATTTTCTTTGTGTAAGGTTGGAAAATTCTATAAGCTTTAGAAACTGAACTGTATCCCACAAATACACCAAGTTCAGCCTTTTTGTCAAGCTTGTCTCTCTTAATTTGTGGCACATAAGTAAAACACAAGCATCCAAATACTTTAAAGTTTTTTTAAAAAAGGTTTATAGTCACACCAAACTTCAAAAGGAGTCTTCCCATCAACGGTTTTGGTGGGCAGTCTATTTAGCAAAAATACTGCAGTGTTTGCAGCCTCTGCCCAGTATTCCTTAGGTAACCCTTTCTCATGAAGCATACATCTGACCATTTCCATTATCGTCCGGTTCTTTCTTTCACTAACCCCATTTTGTTGAGGGGTACAAGGAGTTGTTAATTGATGCTCAATGCCAGCTTCCTCACAATACATGTTGAATTGTTCTAAAGTGTATTAGACCTCAGAGCTTGAATCATGCAGCCACTTTGTTTTTCAATCCACTACTTAAATCTCCAAAATACACCTGGAACTTCTAACTTAGACTTGAGAAAGTAAATCCAGCACATTCTGGAAAAATCATTAATGATGATATAATATGTACTCTAATACATTATAATTTTATTCCTAATTTAGGCATGAAGTTTCTAATACACGACTTCATTTAATGCGAACACAAAGAGAGATGGTGAGAAAATTGTCTTCATTTAAGATACCAACAAATCAACATTTCAAAATCTGCCTTTTCTTCCTCTTTTAATTAATTTAAGCACACAATGGTGAAGATTTGAAACTATGATTTATTTTAGTGTCACAAGCCGTCTAATTAATGAAAAAAAAAATGCAAGGAAAAAGAAAAAGAAAACTAAATAACATACTGAGATATGCTGTGTTTGTTAGATCTAAAATCTAAAGGATCATCGATTTCAACATCCGAGTGTAACTGTGATCACGTGATTGATTGATTGAAGCAGATGGGGTAGCTAATTTTAGGCGACGAATGATGTTTCTCCTTTCTTTTTTTGTTTTATAGCCAACTAACTGATATAACCGTTCAATGATGTCGTCCGGAACGAACTTCAATTGCAAGGAATATGCCAAGTCAGATGAATAATTTATCTACCAAATGCGTTACACATGAAGGATATATTTGTAAAGAACATTGGATACAAGGGTTTTTAAGAGTTGCTCCACTATTTTTTTTTCTCAATTAATGGAATGCAATATTTATTTTTTACCATTATTTTTCATTCTATAATAAGTTAATCAAATAATGGAATAACATTTTTAATCATTCTACTGTATCATGTTCTATTTCATTCCATCCCATTCTCTACTAGCAATCCAAACATAACCAACAATCCCCAGATCACACAGGTTTCGCTTTCCACCACCAAATTTAGAAAAATCAATGTTAGCCACTTACTTTTTTAAAACAAAATGTTGCTATGCCAAGTATTTTAAGTTTTTCCTGACCAAGTTTGGGGGATTGTCATTTGTCACTTCCCCAAGGTTTTGTATCAGGTGTGTTAAAACAATGTGGCAGGATTATGTGATATATTGATACATAACTTTTCTTTTAAATATGTGACCAAGATTTATGTATATAAAAAACCATTTTGGGATACAAATAGATTTCAGTAATTCTAAGAAATAATCTTGGTTCTTTCAAAGAAAAAGTTTTTTTTTCCATTAGATGTTCTCATATGCCAAAATACCTTGCATCAAATAATAGACGAAGTGACGAACTCATGGATAATTTATAAATACCTAGCTCTTATAGCCCATCAAGAAGTCTTTTAAAGACTAGACTTTAACAATCCAACTATTATCAAAATAAACAATATATCTAATGCGATAAACAAACTTGAGGTTTGTACTGATTCTATTATGCTAACATTAAAATTCCTTTGTGCAGGTATCAATAGAAGAATGGAAAGAAACTGAGATTACGAAAACAAATGGAAGACAGGAGAGGGGTAAGCTGAGTTAACAGCCTGACAGGGTTCTGCTGCATGTAATGAAATTTATGGACAATATGTAGTCCGGATTTGTATCTTGTCTAAAACATAATGCAATTCTTAAATTTATTATTTTTATTATTATTTAAATTAAAATTACACGAATATTTTCGAAAATAAAGCTACAATTGCATAAGCATATGCGATGATAAAATAATGGTTACATTCTCAAAATTGGTTATAATCAAACACTCCCAAATATTACAAAATTTTCCTAACCTCTGCGCTCAAGACAGATCGGCTGCGTAATGTTACAAATAGCGTCAAAGCAAAAAATAACAGTTTAAATAGAATAAACAGGACAAAAAAAAAGAATACAGGGACCTATATTTCCTCTTTGTTATCAAATGTCTACCTTTCTCCTGTGCTCAATTGATGCATTCACATCTCACATTGTATACTCAACCAAACGCTCAATTTATGCTGCTGCAGAACCACTCCATTTACAGAAGCAACCAACCAAGATCAAATCCTGTTTCCCAGTGATTTAGGAAAACTTGTAATTTTAAGTTATCATGCCTCATAAACTTTGTCTTGGGATATCCAGCTCGGACTCCAGAATGGCTGCAAACTGTAAAATTCAAAACTAAAGTAATGTCGAATCTATATCAAGCCAGAGTACTCTCAACATATTCCATTGCTTTCCTCTTCACAGATTCAATTCGTTCTTCATCACCTTGGGACTTCTCATAATCAAGATACTTTTTGAACAAGAACTGTCAATCAAAACAGCAAAGTCCCAAGTGAGTATGACAGGAAAAATGACAAACATCAGCAAAATTGATACTACAGATAAAAGCAAACACCTTCATTTTTTTGGGTGGGAGGCTCAGACTAACAGCCCTTTCAAACAATGCACGAATCATATCTTCATCTTTAAGTTGAATTTCCTATCACGTACACGACGAGAATGTTAGGTTCAGAATGATGTACTAATACAAAAAGAAAATGGGGTGGAAAAGGATATACTTGATCGAGATAAACACTCCACAAGTCTGTTCTCTTTGGATATTCCCGTAGAATTTTTTCAAACAAGGATCGCCCTCGATCAGGAACCCCAACCTTGAATTCAAGAATAGCTGTCTGAGAGAAAAATTTAATGTGCTTATGTCGGGGAAGGCTTAATGAAGCTCGATCGATTAGAGGTTGGATTCCATCTTGCTTCTGCCTTAGAAGACTTTGTATACGCCTCAACCAAACCTAAAATCCAGTGCATAATAAGTTCCATATACATTTTTTATCAAGACCAAAAGAGAACTATTTATACTTTAAAGTTCGCATAATACTTTGCATGAATGCTTGAACTTCTTTGTCATTTTATTGAGAAGTTCATCTGCTAAATTATGCTGCTCAGTCCTCTCGTACATCCCCAAGAGTGCTAGATAGACCTTTTTGGGATCATTGTACTGAAGAGCTCTTTGGAATAGTTTCATTACGGCCTCCTACATAAAAAAAATTATTAAGGATACTCCACATAACAATATTAGTGAAGAGACAAAAACTGAAATTTCTCACTCTTACCTCTGTAGGGTTACCATACTTATTTTCCAAATTAAAGTAGGCCTTCCATATGTTAAGCTTCTCGTTTTCTTCTCGGATATTTATTGTCCTCAAAGCCCTTCAAAATGACATTGAACTCAGAAGACTATGGCAATAAGACATTCGCATGGATGTATTGTGACAAGTCGAATGGAGAGATATACAATCCAACATGTAGACATATATACGCTGTTTGTTGCAAGCAGAACATGAAAGAACACAATCAAGGAAAATAGCTAATCATACTACATGAAATCAGGACTTCTCTCACACTTCTATCACCAATGAAGATACGAATAAGCAAATAGATGTGTTGTAATTAGAGGAAAAATCTTCCTAATTAGAGAAAATATCTATAGAATCTTCTAGGATATTTTTCAGAATATTTTTCCTTATTTCCTTATTTTAGAAGATTAGATTGTTACAAATAGGTATAAGGAAAATGTAATATCATGAATAATAATAATAAAATATTATTCTCCTTTTCAAGTTGGTATCAGAGCTCCCGATCTTGGGAGCTCCGATTCCGCTGCAAACAGTAGCCACAGCCGCCGCTGTCCGGCCACAGCAGCTACCACCGTAGCCGTTGGGGCCGTTGATAGGGCAGAAAGGTGCGCCCAACTTCGGCGAACACAACGCCGAAATTCGCTCTGGGAAATACGCCGCCACGCGCCGCCACGCGCAGCCACCGTCGCCGGCGCGTGTAGCCCACGTGCCTAGCTCCGGCGAGACCCACTCGTCGCCGCCGCCGCAGAAAGAGTCGCCAGAGCCTCCTGAGTCCATTCCACGGGTCGGTGACGTCTCATTTGGCCCAGATTTGAGTAGATCTGAGTTTTTTTGAGTTGTTTTTCCTTTTCCGGTGACGTTCCACGGCCCACTCATCGTTGTCGCCACAGATAGAGTCGTCGAATCAATCCATTAAGTTACCACCATCAAATTTTTTGAGATGAAAGCTTTTAAAGAGGAACTAGATCGTTTGAAAGGAATGATTGAATCAATAAGTAAGCCCTCTGGACCATGTACTCTGTCCATGAAAGGTAAGAGTTCTCTCCATACTGTGGGTCCTGTGTCTCAAGGTATTTGGATTCTTGATTCAGGAGCAACTGATCATATGACACCTTTTCGTATGATCTTCAAATCATATATTCAAAGGAATAGAGAACAACTTATTACAGTTGCGAATGGTCAAGGTGTACCCATATGCGGCTCTGGGAATATAATTTTGGAATCATCTATTGTATTAAAGGATGTTTTACATGTTCCACAATTAGCCAATAATCTTATCTCTGTGCAAAAGCTCACAAAAGATTTAAATTGTTCAGTAACATTTTTCTCAACTCATTGTGTTTTTCAGGACCTTGCTACGGGGAAGACAATTTTAACTGCTAAAGAGCAGAGTGGGTTGTATTTGTTGGAATCTGATGATCAAAACAAAACAAAAATCATGAGTCAACAAGCTACATCTGAAACGTGGGCAAATTCCCAAATATGGCTACATCATAAAAGGCTTGGGCATCCTTCATTCAACCTTCTTAAATCCTTATTTCCTCATTTGTTTACTAAAGAGTCTATTGAGTCTTTTAATTGTGACATTTGTCAATTGTCAAAACACCATCGTGCATCCTATGCACTGAGACAAGAGTTCAAAAGAGTGAAACAAAGATGTATTTTGGATCTAATGTCTGCGGGCTCAGTATTTGAATCTATGTAGTGAATGGTGTTGCTAGCGATGAGGGCAACAAAGAACTAATTAGTAACATATTTGTGTGTACATTTATATGAAGGGGATCAACGAGTTTAACTCAATGAATTCACCTTTAATTCGTCAAAATGAATAAGATTGTATTGTATTTTTTAACTCATCCAGATAACATTATTTTCATAACTCGTCAAGTCAGAGAATAGAAGATGGTTGAGTTAGATTGACACATTGAGTTATATTTGTGTGATTTAATCTATACAACTAATCAATATAAAATGAGCAATTTGATTGTTTTTTTTTATAGATATGATATAGTATTTTAAAGATTATTTGTAAGATGTAATTTTCACTAATTAAAGATTATTTTAATAATATCTTTGTATTAATTCTATAACATTTATTCTATTTTAAATTATATTTCATTATAGAATTTGAAAAAAGATTAAGATAAATAAAATAAAAATGATTTATATTTGTTTTATAAATTGACGGTTGCATCTATACCAAATTAAATTAGATTTTTCGAGTCAATGAAAAAAAAAATGTCAATCCAACTTGACTACTCATTTTTCATCGGATTCACATGGGGTTGTGTCAATCATTTAATAGCCTTTGCAGGCAACTCAACATACGCCAAAAAGCTAGACACTACGCTTCGAACTCGGCTTCCGGTCTATATCTATAACATAAAAGAGATTATTGTTTAATTTTTCCTTCTACCTTGGTTCATATAACAAATCTTTGGTTAATGATGGATACCCATATCAACATTTAGTTGATGAATGGAATCAATTCAATGATGTAAGATTTAAACTTCAAATTACCATCAACACCATTCATTCTTTAAAACTAATGAAAGGAACATACATTTCTCTCCTCAAAAGCTGCAAATCCATGTCCCAATAGAAGCAAATTCAGGCCCGTGTATTCTGCATTGGCCTGCAACAAGATAGAGACACCCTCAACAAGCTCATGGCCTTTTCCATGGACTCATCATTAGGGGATTTTAGCTATGCAAACAGAATCTTCAACCACATTCATGACCCCTCGTTATTTATCTACAATCTCATGATCAAGGCCTTTGTGAAAAAGGGTAGTTTTTGTAGTGCCATTTATCTGTTTCACCAACTGAGGGAACATGGGGTGTGGCCTGATAACTACACCTACCCTTATGTTTTGAAGGGTATTGGTCGCACTAGGGAGGTTAGGAAAGGGGAAAAGATTCATGCTTTTGTGGTTAAGACTGACCTTGAGTTTGACCCTTATGTGTGTAACTCATTGATGGATATGTATGTTGAGTTGGGTCTAGTTGAGGAGTTTTGTCAGGTGTTCGAGGAAATGCCTGTGAGGGATAGTGTTTCTTGGAACATCATGATTTCAGGTTATGTTAAATGCAGGAGGTTCCAAGAGGTTGTTGATGTTTACCAGCAAATGCGAATGGAGAGCAACAAGAAGCCCAATGAAGCAACGGTTGTGAGCACTCTGTCGGCGTGCTCAGTGTTGAGGAATTTGGAGCTAGCGAAGGAAATTCACAGTTACATTGTGAATGAACTGGATTTCACTACTATAATGGGAAATGCTTTGTTGGACATGTATTGTAAGTGTGGACACGTGAGTGTGGCAAGGGAGATTTTCGATGCGATGACTGTGAAGAATGTGAATTGTTGGACCAACATGGTAACTGGGTATGTGATATGTGGTCAGTTGGATAAAGCTTTGGATTTGTTTGAGAAGAGTCCAAGTAGGGACATTGTTCTTTGGACAGCTATGATTAATGGGTATGTACAGTTTAATCATTTTGAAGAGGCAATTGCATTATTTGGAGAGATGCAGATCAAAGGTGTGAAACCAGATAAGTTTATTGTGGTTACTCTCCATACTGGTTGTGCTCAATTTGGAGCACCAGAGCAAGGCAAGTGAATTCATAATTACATTGACAAAAATAGAATCACAGTGGATGTTGTGGTTGGTACTGCCCTTATTGAAATGTATGCCAAGTGTGGTTGCATAGAGATATCTTTGGAGATTTTTCATGGATTGAAGGAAAAGGATACTGCCTCATGGACTTAAATTATTTGTGGGCTGGCCATGAATGGTAGAACAAGCGAAGCACTTGAGTTGTTTGAAGCAATGCAAACATATGGGTTAAAAGGTGGTAAATGCACTGAGACAAGAGTTCAAAAGAGTGAAACAAAGATGTATTTTGGATCTAATGTCTGCGGGCTCAGTATTTGAATCTATGTAGTGAATGGTGTTGCTAGCGATGAGGGCAACAAAGAACTAATTAGTAACATATTTGTGTGTACATTTATATGAATCATGAATAATAATAATAAAATATTATTCTCCTTTTCAAGTAGATGTATCTAGGCTCAAATCACTCTACTTTAATATTTAATTAACAATGAAAACACATGGAGAGCATCATTTAACCAACCTAAGAACATACTTAGAAGATATTATTTGAGTGATGAATCTTCATACTTCAGAAAGTACAGAAAATTGATTCATGTGCTACTTTTTGTCTTTTGTAACTATAATTCAGACCAATATATGAAGGAGGCCTTTCATATATAACAAATCTTGGTATGTCCATGCAGCAACCTCAATGTTTATGTAACTAATGAAACAATGTAACTTGAAGGATGTACCATAAAACCTGTTGAGATAGCTGCTTAGGCTGATATCATAGGATGTGCAAAATAATTAAGGCCTGTCTGGTTTAAAAAACTGGCTTATGTTTTTGTATCTTATTTTCAAAAATAATTACAAACATATTTTTTTCACTTATTTACTATTTTGCAAAGATTTGCATATACTATTAAAAAATTCTCACCAACTCGTATATAAATATTAAAACCAGATCATGAAGTGAAAACAATGTGGTACTTACGTAATTATTTGTGAAAATAGGAAATGAAAACAAAACATTCTCAAACCAAACACATCTATGAAACCAAACATTCTAAACTCGATATTTTTTAAGCTTAACATATAAGATGACAAGCTTATATGAAACACTGTTCCGCCAATAGATGAAGGTACAATGTCTAATAGCCAGTAATTGATCAAAAATAAACAAACAAAAGTGTTCAGATCCCTTTTTTTTGCCCAAGATTTGCTTTAGAATAGGATTCTATTATGGCTCCAGAAAAATAACTTGGGATTATACAAAATCAAATCAACATTACTAAAATTGAGTTAAAAAAATCCAAAAACAACCATAGTTACTTATTCACACGTACCTTTCAGCAATTGAGCGGGCTTTCTCGACATCAGCCATAGAAATCATGAAATCCATGTATTTTATCCAGATGAAACTGCTATTAGGAGAGCTTCTAATCAGCTTTTCAAACTCATCAGCAGTTCTAGGTACATCCTCCTCCAGTAATCTTTCCTCAGCAGCCCTTATTTGCTTTTCCCTATACAGTGTACATGCTACATATTAGAGATTAAAAAACAAAGGAGAAGAAAAAACGAGAGATAGCATTTTATAAAAAAGTAAATGTCAAATAACTATAAGCATTATATTGACCTCTCCTCCTTTGCTTTCTTCTTTTCATGCCTCTTATGCTTTTCATTTATAGTGTCTTCTTCATTTGCATGCTTTTCACCTTGACTATTAGCATTATTTGCATCAAATTGATCAAAGTCATCAAGGGCAACATCAAGTGGTGGAATGTCTGCCCTTTGTCGTGCTTGTGTAAGAATTGGGAATTGATTAATTTCATCCGCGACATCTATAGACTTCATTCCATCTGCAACAGGTTCATCTGATCCTTCCTCTGATGGTATTTGAAGCACAGTTTTATCACTCATATATGAATTCTTCATTCCCAAAGAAATTCTTTGTCTTTCTTCATCCACCTTATGATATATGTTTTGGAAATGCAAGTAATTAGTAACTTAGTACTGTAATACACATTGATCAAACAAGAAGCCTATCTGACATAGGACAACAATAAAGTCAAGACAAGGATGTATCAGGACATGAGTTATCTTACACAATTTAAAAAATTCAGATGGAATTAGAGTCTGAATAAGTTAATGTTTGAAAAGAGTTTTAGTTATCTGTCAACTTTGGTTATACCTCACCAAAATTACAACTACTTTTATTCATTATAAATGATAGGAACTTGTCCATATTTCCTTTGGATTCCAATTTTTTTCTGCATTAGTTTTTAAATTATCTGCTAGAATATCTAACATAACATTGTCATCATGCAGCCTTCTGAATCATAGAAATTATCTGACTGGAGATACAATAACATATTACAGAAACAACATGCAAAGCACTTCCAATTATACAAGATACACATCATAATACAACCAGTCACAGTTAATAGCTAGAAGTTGCAATGCGTAATAAAACCAATAGACATATAATCTCCTGGAAAAAAATATAGAAACCAGCAACACATCCAAAGCTTTGTATTTGAATTACCTTTAATATTTTTGCATTTACTCTCTCCCCAGCTCTATAGTTTGCTTCAATGTTCTCAATATGGTCGTCAGAAATTTCTGATATATGACATAATCCAACCTAGGAAATTGAAGGAGCATAATCATGTGAGCTGACAGAACCAAGTTGATCATTGTCTCTTTCTTAAGAGCATGGTTTATGAAAAATCATAATTTGACATAAAACTATCACAACCAAGTATACATTTGGTGGATGAAATTGTAAGCATTTGAGCCATCAAAGTTATGAAATGGATAAAACCATGAAATTAAAAATAAATTATTTTATATGTTGCATATGATTTTAAAAAGCTAAAAGCATGGAAGAATTATAAACTTTCTCATTTTTAGTACAAGTACATGGACCAGAAATGGCTGGCAAGGTTGTAGAAATACCATGTCTGTGTTGTCAATTGCAATGAATAAACCAAATGACTCAACCCGCTTAATCCTTCCAGATATAACACCTCCAACATGAAATTTACTTAAATCAATGATCTCAGATTTGGGTTTCTTGGGAACTGTTGATGTCTTCAGTGTAACTTCAACACGATTTGAAAGAGGCTCCACAGATATAACCCTGCTATTTGCTTTGTTATACATTTCTTGACGTATCTATCTCATGTTAAGCAAGTGAACAGAAACAGCAGGTTGATTACTTACCTGCCAATTACAAGTCTTCCAATAGGAAATTCTTTCTCAGGTACTTCTACATATTGATCGGATAGATTTGATAGAAGAATTTTAGCATCAATCTTTCGTGAGAGCATAATAAAGCATCCTTTTGGTGTGACATTCTTAATATAACCCTATCCAACAGAAGACATACTCAAATAAATCCAAAAGATCAAAATACAATACTTAAGAGAAAAAAATACATAAGATTCAAAAAAAGATATGCCAACAATATATGCTTAAGTTAGTAACAAATTATCAGCACAGCAAATCATGAAGGACCAAAACTTACGACAGGTAAAAACAACATTGCACACATGCACTTCATATCTCATGACAGGGTTGTTATCGCCAGTTGGAAAATGAATGAAATGAGTAAGACTTCAAAACAGTAAAATAAAATTTGTTTTTGTATAGAGTTTGACTAGTAGTACCTCTGAATAACTATCTTGTAATCATGTTACATTATAATCAATTCAAGCAAAGTATTTAGGTTGTTGAAAAAGTTGAATCTACAATTTATTCTATCATGGCATTATTAATTGACAATAAAATGTTGCAAACAAGATGGTAGTTTCCCTGTAGTATAAAACAAAAATCAAACATTACAATTACAAATGACAAATTCCATAGTAAAAGATTTTTCCTTTACAAATAAAATGAGTAGAAAACAGTATTTTCCTATAAAAGAGAGGAATAGTACAAAACCAAGGAAAGGGTTCAGATGAGCTCCTGAAGGAAATACAAAGAAAACTGAAATTTGAGAGCAAAAAACTAGAGCCTATGTATATTACAGCACTTAGCTTTAAAAATACCCTCCCCCCCCCCCCCAC